TCGCTATAATTTGGTTTGGACATGTTTTCTCTCTTATTCCAACCATTGTTTTATATGTATCTATTTACTATCAGTTTTTAATTTTTATTTTAAAAATATTATTTTAAAATTATAGATTTTAGATTACCATAATTTTTTGATTTCCAAAGTTGCCTTGATAATATTGGAGGAAGAGAGGTAGATAGGAAAAGACTGTATCTTATTAAGATATTTTGCATATTCATCTCTTCCTCATACATGTATCTATCTTTTTTCATACAAATGAGAATTTTTGGGATCAGCATGGGCATTATTACACATTCAGCATCTTTAAGATACATGCACACATAGAAAAAGAGAAAGACACACAAACAAAGCTTTCAATCTTAAGAGAAAATATGTATGTATGGAAGAGGCATTCTTTGAAGATTGTTCAGTGCTGGATATGTAGTAGGATTGAAATGAACAGAAGGGAATGGCTATAGGTATATGTCTAACCTTCAAACAACATTGTTATGGCAGGTGATGAAATTATTGTGATTGATTACTGTCAATCAGACACACAGCTGAAAGGGATTTCATAGGTAATTTATATAAGTGTTTTGCCAATGCAGGAAATAATAATTATTAATAATAAATGAAAAATGGCATTAGAAGAATATCTGACAGTGGAGAAGATGCATCTGAACTAGAATATCATGGAAGACTTAGTGAATACCACAGAAACAAATCTGGCCTATAGAAAAGACCAAATGAAGAATAGAAAATGGACATGGTAAGGCAAAGTATTACATGGCCAGTACACAACGAAATTATCAGGCAAAGAAAATAACATAATTCCATACAAGACCAATCCTTAAGAACAAGTGCATATAAAGCCAGAATTGAGAAGACAGTAACAGACAGCAAACGCTGCCTCTGCAAAGCAGTCGAAGAAACAGTTGATTTCCTAATTAATTCCTGCAAGAAAATCACACAGACTAGCTACAAATAATGGCATGACAAAGTAGTAGCAAGAATATCTGCAAGAAATATCATTTGACTACAAGCAAGAATTGGTGGGACCACAAAGTAGACAAAATAGTAAACAAAAAAAACCTGAAGTGTTTTAGAACTTTAAATAAGACCTAAACAGTAGATGAAGTTAAAGTCTGAATAGTAGAGTACGTGGAGATAGCAGAAGAGAAGAGAAAGAACTGGAGAAAATAACAAAATACAAAGACCTGCAATTAGAAGTAGAATGATTGCGGCAAGAGAAAGCAAACAAAGTACCAATAGCAGGGGTGGGATTCTACCGGTTCTGTCCGGTTCTATAGAACCTCTTGTTAACTTTCTAAGCATTTTGGAGAACCAGTAGTTAGAAGCAATCTTCTTTTGTTTTTTTCCACCCTTATTACATTCTTGCCAGTACGCCTAGACTTACTGTCTCTGAAGGAGGTTTTTTTTTCTGGTACTTTCTTAAAGGGGAAGGGTTGTTTAAAGATTTTTACACTGCTGTCGGGAGGAAATACTTCCCTGGACAATCAGCACTTTGAAGAAATAATTGAATAATGAAGCAAAACTTTTAGTGACAGGGAACCAAGATGAGTGACGTTCAGCAAGGCTTCTTGGCTAGCTAGAAAGATTGACATTCAAACGTGAGTTTACATGCCTTTTCTGAGTTTTGGTCTACAGCCAGTTTTGGGTGAAAGTTAATTCTGTGCTTGGTGATGTTTAATCCTGTGTTTATTGATGGGATAATTTTCCCTATTCAGCTTCAACAAGCAACAGATACTATTGTGATTTAATTATTTGTATTGTGTTTGAATTTTTCCTGCCTCATGGTTTCTTTTTATGTCTGGGGAGGGGGTCTTCCTTCACTGCTTTAGTGGTATCTGGCACTGTCCGTTTGGGGTATACTTCCAAGAAGCAGGATACAAGCTTGACACTGATTTTTTTTTACTGCCTTTCTGGGGGGCATGTGACCTTTCCTTAAATCTGGATTGTTTCCTTAGGATATCTTGTGGGGTGAGTGAGACCAGCTGATATCTTTAAGTGGTGCAAATGGATCTAAGGATTGCTTTTCCTGGGTGTGCTTTTTCTGGAGAGCTTAAATGACCTCTCTGCTAAAGGGTTTCACTTTAGGAGCAAGAGATGGCTGCTTGATGGTTATCACTGCATTTTAATTATTTTCATTCCTCAAGATGCTCTGGCACCCTGCCTGATTTGTAACTCTGGCTTGCAGGTATTTTTAATCTAATGATTGGTATTTAGGGCAGCTTTTGGCAAGCAAAGAAGCTTTTTGTATTTTTGTACAGGCAATCCTTGACTTACAACAGTTAGTGACCATTCAAAGTTACAATGGCACTGAAAAAAGTGACTTATGACCACTTTTCACACTTATGACCATTGCAGCATCCCCACTGTTATGAAAGGCCAGGCGAGGAGAAGCACCCCTTGACATGAGTGATGTCAAGTTGGGCACGCCCACCCAGTCACATGACCACCAAGCCACGCCCACAGAACCGGTTGTTAAAAAAACTGAATCCCACCCCTGACCAATAGTAATAGGTGCTTTGGGTGGAATCCAAAACATCTGGAACACCATTTAAGCACCACCTGCATTGACAAAATCAAGTCAAGTGTAAAAGACAGCTTACTTGGAACAGCTTACAACCTGCAACAATAATTTTAATGTTATTAAAAAGCAACTTCTGTCTAATCTAAATCCTTGAGAATGACTTGATAGGTGGACAGAACAGCCAAATCCAGTCTAAATATTTGGCTGACTTTTATAATACATTACGTTTAGCTGTTGCCCTGCTCTCAATAACTCAGTCAATCACTGCAATATTTTTAATAAGTGGACATTCAGCTGTGTTCATAAATACCTAATGGAAAGAATGTCAATTTTTTGAGTAGGCTGAGTTGAATCATTCATAGTACTAACTCTGTGAAAATGAATATAATTTCTACTCTATGTCAGCCTCTTAACCATCTTCAGGACCAATATTTCCCACTTTCTTGTATTTGTTAATATTCTTCTTGAAACCTGGTATCCAAAGCTGGATATAGGACTTCCATAAAAACAAAATGATGTAGACCTTGGTTCGGGTATTAAAAGAACTACAATGACGTGGGAAAATACCCGAACCAAGCCGAACACCATACATATAACATATATATATATATAACATAACATATATATATATATAACATATATATATATA